GTGTTGCTAAAGTATTACAAATTATTAGAAAAAGACTTTATCTAATTTTTGAATTTGTTGTACATGACTCTTACAAAGGTGGTAATTTCAAAGCCAGTGAAAATTTTTGGTCTTTGGAAAATGGTTTGTCAGCATTTCCACTATAAACCTCCATTTTCTTTTTCTTTTATGTGTTGTATTCTTTATTTCTTTCTGAGGTTTATTATAGAGCCATAAAAACTTGGCAAATTAGAGCTCAGTCTGAGACTTTTTTTTCCAATTTGCTTTCCAAATTTGTTTTAAATCGTTTCAGATGTTTAGGTTGCATATGCAAAATGTAATGTTGGAATTATAAATGCTTTTTACTTATTACTTAAATGAAACCCTAGCTTTAAAGTAATGGTAAAGATAACTTTTTAAAACTTAGCTAACCAATTTTTCTCATGTGTTCAAAGGAGACATTTCATTTTGGTCAGTGATGTGATTCTATTTTGTGTGACATCTTGTAATTTTCTTGTTTCTTTCCTCTCATTCCCATTACATGATAGAGTTTTTAACCTTTTGCATATAATACTTTTCTCTGTTAACAGGATTAAATAAGATAATGCATGCAAATCTCTTAACCATGCTAAATTCACTAAATGGAAGCTATTATTGTTTTTTAAATCTGAACTTCTGAAGGCTGGTGGAGATTGGCTTAGAGCACTTAATTCTCACATGCACCTAATTTCACACAATGCCTTTGTCTCCATGAGCGTTAAGAACGAATGCATAAGAATTTTGCTACCTGCAGTAGAGGACTAGAAACTGACTGAGATGTGACTTCTGCTTCAAAGAAACAACACCACAGACGGTGGTGGACGTGGGCATGAATAGCATTCATACAAAGTTGACCATCACAAGCACCGAAAAATGACGTGAAGGGGCGCCACAGGAGCGGCGAGGACAGAAGTGTTTATGCTGTCCCGGCAAGATTGGGGAAGAACTGGAATTTTCCGTTCTTGCTTTTATGAGTGCTCTGAAAGTGTATAAAGTGGGGAAATAGAAAGTTTGAGGTGACTTCTTCAGCCTCCCGTACGGTCAGAGAGTTTGGACTGAAAGCCCGTGGGCTCCGGGTCTCCCACCTCCTCTCTGCTGCCTTAGACTGACTCGTATTTGAAATCGGGATGGCGGGTCGATGTGTATGAATGCCCTGAATGCTGGGCGTCTCAGTCGGTTTGTGCTGCTATAACAAAATAGCTCAGGCTGGGTGATTTACGTGTAACAACAGAAGCTTATTGCTCGCAGTTCTGGAGGCTGAAGCCCGAGATCGAAGCACGTGCAGCTTCCACTGTGAAGGCTGTCTTCCTCAGCGACGGTGCTTTCTCATGTCCTCACAGAGCAAAGAAGACAGTCCCTCCAACCTCTTTGTTGAGGTCACCAATCCCATTCCTGAGGGCTCCACCCTCATGACCTAATCACCTCCGAGATTCCACCTCTTAACACTGTTGCATGGGGGGTTAGGTTTCAGCACACGCATTTTGGGAGGACACCAGCGTTCAGACAA